CACACAAACCTCCTAAGTATAGAAGACACAAAGCCAACTTACAACTGTAATAAAAGTATCCTGAGTAACTATGATTAGTAAAAACTTATTTTTTTTTCTTCCTCTGTGCTTTTTCCCCAGTAAGGACATTTTATTTTTTGCTTACCCTGTAGGATAAGCTCTGTCTCTGTATATTTGTGCAAGAGACCCGATGGGATGTTTTACTCATTGAAGAGTTTCTATTTGAAAAATAATAACTTGTTTGTCATGTGCCTAGGTATATAAATACATTATGTTGGTTACATAAATGGGTGGGAATAAGTCCACCCATCTAAAGAAAGGATATGTTATATTATCAATGTGAGGGATTTGGAAAGAATCTTAATTTCATGTTAGACATATTCAAGGATTCACATGTCTCTTTTAACAGATGGGTGTGGCTTAGTTTAGAGCACCTAGTGGTGGAATAATTTATGCACAGGTTAAAGCACCTTTTCATCAAAATTCATGGGCTTTAAGGCTGTCTGTCATCTGAATGGGGAGTCTGATCGCATGTTGTTCACATCATAATAAATTAAGAAAAGCTTTAGTGATTGCTTTAATAAATCCACTTTCAAAATCTGGAAATGGAGCCATGTTGTTGAGTAGGATGGTATTGGTGAGAAATGCCAGACAGAAAATAGATGGATGAATGGGGTGAGTGCAGTTATGATATATGGTGGCTTCCTTAGTGTGAATACTTGTAGAGGAGACCTAGACTAAAAGTCCTTTTTGGGGAAGGTTGCAGATTTCCCCATGGCTGACCAATACAGTAGTCAATTTAAAAATGAGTATTAGATTGCATGGAGTGAACACAAGAAGGGTATAGCTACAGCCTCACCAACCTTGCTGACAGGCTGTCAGTAGGGAGATGTATAAGGGCATTGCTTGGGCATGCAGGGATGAAGTCAGGAAGTCAAAGCATAATTGGAGTTGCAGCTAACAAGGTACATGAAGGGTAACAAAAAGGATTTCTACAAGTATGTTGGTAGCAAGAGGAGGATCAGGAAAAGTGTGGGTCCCTTACTGAACAGGGGAGGCAACCTTGTGAGAGAGGATGCAGAAAAGGATGAAGTCCTCAATGCATATTTTGTCTCAGTCTTCCTAGGCAAAGTCAGCTCCCAGACTACTGCACTGGACAGCACAGTTTGGGGAGGAGGTGGGCAGCCAAGAGTGATGAAAGAACAGGTTAGGGACTATTTAGAAAAGCTGGACATGCGCAAGTCCATGGGGTCAGACGGGATGTACCCAAGGGTGCTAAGGGAGTTGGCTGTTGAGATTGCAGAGCAACTGGCCATCATCTTTGAGAACTTATGGTGATCAGGAGAGGTCCCAGATGATTGGAAAGGGACAACCATACTGCCCATATATAAGAAAGAGAAAAAGGAAGATCCAGGGAACTACAGACCAGTCAGCCTCACCTCGGTCCCTGGAAAAATCATGGAGCAGACCTTCAAGGAATCCATGTATAAGCGCTTGGAAAAAAGGGTGATTAGGAACAGTCAGCGTGGATTCACCAGGGGCAAGTCATGCCTGGCCAACCTGATTGCCTTCTATGACAAGATGACTGGCTCTGTGGATGCAAGGAGAGTGGTGGATGTGGTGTACCTTGATTTTAGGAAGGCTCTTGATACTGTCTCCCACAGCATTCTCACAAGCAAGCTCAGGAAGTATGGGCTGGATGAATGAACAGTAAGGTGGACAGAGAACTGGGTGGATCATTGGGCTCAGAGGGTAGTAATCAATGGCTTGATGTCTAGTTGGCAGCCAGTATTAAGTGGATGGCCCCAGGGTTGGTCCTGGGGCCAGGCTTGTTCAATGTCTTCATCACCATCCTGGAAGATGGCATAAAGTACACCGTCAGCAAGTTTGCATATGACACCAAGCTGGGGGAAGTAGTAGATATGTTGGAGGCTAGGGCTAGGATTCAGAGTGACCTAGACAAATTGGAGGATTGGTCCAAAAGAAATCTCATGAGGTCCAACAAGGACAAGTACAAAGTCCTGCACTCATGACAGAACAACCCCATGCCCCAGTACAGGCTGGGGACTGACTGGCTGGGCAGCAGCTCTGCAGAAAAGGACCTGGGGATTACAGTGGACAGTTAGCTGAATATGAATGAACATTGTATACTTGTTGCAATAAAGGCTAGCAGCATCCTGGGCTGCATTGGTAGAGTGTTGCCAACAGGTCATGGGCCGCCCACTACAGAAAGGATGTGGACAAGTTGGAAAGAGTCTAGCAGAGGGTGACAAAAGTGGTGAAGGAGCTGGGAACATGACTTATGAGGAGAGGCTGAGGGAACTGGACTTATTTAGTCTACAGAAGAAGGGATTGCAAGGGGATTTAACAGCAGTCTTCAATTACCTGAAAATGTGTGGGAGGGGGATGATCTAAAAAGGATGGAGCTAGACTGTGCTCAGTGGTGGCAGATGATAGAACAAGGAACAAAGGGCTCAAATTCTGGCAAGAGAATTTTAGGTTACATATTAGGAAGGATTTTCTCACTAGCAGGGTAGTAAACACTGGAACAGGTTACCCAGAGAGTGGGCAGAGGGAAACCCTGGCACACCTGACCCTCAAGTGCTCCAGGCTGCAGCCCCTCCACCTCCAGAACCTCCTCCTCAGGTTCTGGTTGAATTTCACCACCCACCTTTTTGTTTTCGGTCACCCTGTCTCTGGCTCCACCAAGTCCTGAGATCTCCTGGTCAACCTACTCCTAGCCCTGGCCAAGTGGGCCTTAAACTTGACCAGAAAGGAGGCTTTGTCTGGGAAGGTGCCCAGAGACTGTGGGGCCACTTTCCTCTCATTTGTCCATGCATGTTTCCAGGCAGAGAACCAGTGGGCAGCATCCACTGGCTCCTTGGATGCCTTTGAGTACCGGTGGTGGCCGCCCAGGGGGCTCTGCTCCGTGTCCCCCTCAGGTACACTTATTTTCACATGTTGTCCCTTTGACCCACAGAGCACTCCTATCCTGTTTTTTTTTCATTAGTTGTCCCAAGTGTCTCGGACGGCCAGGGCCGACTCGAGTTACGCTCGTACGTCAGGGTGGGCTGGTGAATGGAGAGGCAGACACAACTTTTCGGTTGCAAAAAACTTTACTCACACCACTTGCAATCACGACGCAGGTGGTCCGGTCGTCGGAACAACCACACGAGTAGTTCCAGCTGGCGGGGCCCAAGCCAGTTAATCCGTCCGCAATTCGAAGCCGGCGGGGAAAGGGGTACATCGGGGTTGCGCTCGGTGACGGGAAGAAAGATCGATAGGTGATCAGTCTATCGATCGGCAGCCGCAAGTCAGATAACTTCAGAGGCACTCTGCAGCGTGCTCAAAGCTCTTCGACTTGGCCGGAAGTCGTGCGGAATTTTAAACGGCCAGCGAGCCAATTACTAGCCACCACGTGTGAATAATTTAGCACTGGCCAATAGCGGGGCACAAATTTGCATCCGAATAGTGGGAACTCTTTGCACCGTGCATCTCCGTGCTGCAAAGAAGAAATGCATCCTGCAAAGGAAACTGCAAATTGGCGGGAACTCTCCTGCACGCAGGCTCTCAATTGCAGCAGAACACTCTGCTGTGCAAAGGAGCTCTCATGTGGCCAGGAAATTCCATAGTGCCGAGGCACCAAAAATCACTGGATTGTGACACCAAGAATTTAGTTGTTCCATTCATCCATTAGCCCATGTAAAATGGGGCTACTAGTTAGTCAGGTGGGCCTTACCCATGGTAACTGGATGGACAAATAGACAAGCTATTGAGAGAAGTGATGGAATATCAATCCTTGGAGGTATTTAAGACCCAGCTAGACAAAGCTTTCGGTAGGATGATCTAGTTGACGATGGTCCTGCTTTGAGCAGGGGGTTGGACTAGATGACCTTCTGAGGTCCCTTCCAACCCTAATTTTCTATGATTCTGCACTGGGAATAGCACACCCTGCTGCTGCTTCAAGAGGAAGATATTGACTGAACTCCCTCAGGAGCCGTGGAGGTGTTGTGCTTGGCTGAGGCATATTGTATGCATGTTGCCTCATGCATTTTCTGGGAGAGCATGCCTCTGCATTGCCTTCTACTGCAGGGCTGTGCTTTATGGTATTTCCTATATGCCACAATCTAGTGCAATACAGACAACTAGTTTGGGCCCCAGAAGCAATGTAGCTATGTTAGCCTAGCTATGTTAGCCCAGACTAATATACCCTCCTTGTTATGAGGGATAATTAGCTTAATGCACAGATGTACCTACAATATTTCCAATTCTAGAATTAGCTTGTCCAGAGCTATCTCATTGGTGTATCTCTCCACGGTGGTCCATCGTACTGTGTATATGTATCCTATGAGGCACATCTGAGCCTGTTATCCTATAAATCAGCAGGCACCTGGTATTGGTTAGCCAAATGGTGAACTGAGATTTCTTTTATACTTAATCCTATTAAAAGTTTACAGTTACCTCATCCTAACAGATCCTCCATCCTTGTTTGTTCAGTGTATCCACCTGTTGCTTCCTGAATAATTTCCCTGTGGATTATTATTTATACACCATTATTTGTATTGCACCTAGCACAATGGGTCTTGATCCTTCAGTAAATTGATATCCAAATTAGTGATTTCAATATGTAACCATAATTCATTATTTGATCATATTTTCTTACAGCAAGAAAAAAAGATTGCAGCAAGTTCTTTCAGAGTTCTGTCATCATATTTCGAATTCCTTCCAAAAGTTTGGATTCCATAAATATTTTTGATTATATTTATTAACAAGGTTTCGATCATGCAAACATTTGGTGAAAACAAATATCCCACTATTTAAAGCAAAGAAAAAGGTTGTTGAAATGTTAACAAAATCTATCTTATGACTCCAGAAAGATATGGCATATGTTGCAGTTATCTCACAGGCAAACTCCATGCTGGGTGCATATATTTACAAAAGACACCGATGAGTCATATGTAAACATTTTGATTATAAAGATTTTCTTCATTTTCCCACAGACTTGCTGCTCTCAAACAGCTGCATCCCATTCCTGGGCTCAGTGGAGGGGCTTGATTTTCGAACCCTGCTGCTAGATGAGGAGAGGGGTCGGCTGCTAATCGGAGCTAAAGACCACATCTTCCTGCTCAGCTTGGTTGATTTAAACAAAAATGTAAAGAAGGTCAGTTTGTTTTCCACACAGTTCATCTGATAAGTTTGTTTTCAGCCCCTCCCTTACTCCTTTTTGCTTCACTAGCTACATGGCAAATGCATTCTGTGTGTGTTGTAACAAGACTTAATAATTTTACCTCCTGTTGTTACAATCGCTTTCTTTAATAAACTGAGTTTGTCAGTATATGTGACCTCTTATAGGAATAAAGTAATGTAATATGTCAAATACCTGTAGGGGTTCTGCACTGCATGAAACCAAAATATCAACACAGAGGCAAGGATATATCTCAGAATATTTGTTTCTTGTGTCCTCTGCTATCATGACAGCCCTAACCTAATGAAGATAACTGGGGCTAGTTTTCTTCATAGAGATCCCATGGCTGTGTCTTCATGCAGAATTTAGAGGATTGATATGCTAGTTTGCTGTTTTAAATATTCTCAATTCTGTTAATAATTGGAATTATTGCCTATGTAAAACATGTATTAGGACTTGTTAAGTCTTGATTTAACTGCACTAGGCTTGTTACTTTTAGTTACATTTAGACCATACCTTATAGATGGAAAGCAGTTCTTAAACTTCAGCATTTCCCTTGGAGATGATATTTTGATGCTTAGACAAATTCTTTTGGCCATTACATATAAGCACCAGCTGCTTGCCCAAGAACCCTTTCAAAAGATGCACTTTGTTTGTGACAGATATGTTGTTCATTTAGTAAAATTAAATCCTTAGTTGTGTTGCATACATTTCTTTAAATTTAATCAGCAGTTTTCAAATAGCTAAATGTTGCTGTCATATACTAGAGTCACTGAATCCAGATCAGTTTGCCTGAAGCCAATGGAATTAACAGGTGTAACAGAAAAGACTTTGGCTTCATATGTGTAAGTGGAAACTAGGAGCTCATTGCAAAAAAAAAAAAAAAAAAAAAAAGAGTTAGTGTCTTTAAAATTCAGCTTACAAACACTGCTGGAAGCTTCTTTCCTTGTATGCTTTCCAAGCAGTCAGTTTTCATCTGGAAATACAGTAGCATATTCAGAAAAGCTACAATATAAAAATGGTATCTTTAACATAGTTATTCCTAAACTAGATTTTCAGGTCCCAGGTTGAGTTTCTGGCATGAGCATCTAGAGAGGGAGAAAACCAAAATAATTTTTCTTGTAACAAAGGCAGCTTTTTTTTCTGCCTAGTTGGGCTCCCTCCCATTATGTTTAAAGGTAGTTGAGGTATTCAGTACTTTTCAGGATTAGACCTTCAATCTTACCAGCTCAAGTTTATTCTTTAGCTAAACTATATCATTGATTAAAACAGAAGAAAAAGGGCAAAAAAAAAAAGATTTGTAAAAATACCAAGTTCCGTATTTTGACTTCTGCAATGCTCCATATGCTAAATTTTAAAATTCAGGCTCTGAGTACTTCAGGAAGTGCCCCCCCACTTCAGTGGGAGTTTTGTTTCTATACACAGAGCTGAATACAGCTGAAATTACGGAGACAGTTATCATTGTCTCAGTTATCATGATTGTTGAGAAATATATCAATGTAACTGTCTAGTTCTAGGCACCTAATTTTGTCATACAAATGGGATGCTAATATTGATAATCTTATGTGACAAGCACTCTAATGACAATGTGTGTTCATGCGTGTGCATGTGCACACGTGTGTGTATTACTATGTCTGAGATATAGATATATACATACACACATGCAATGACAAGGGGAAAGAGAGAACTCATATACATCATACTCACTTAAAGTTTTCAGTGCTAAAGGGTACTCTCCAGTAGCAAGTGAGTGTCAGAAAGTAGTGCTTGTCTGTGCTGTGTTTAGACTGACCATGGTTTAGATTGGCTCTGTGCCACTCGGCTCAGTTCCAGGCCTTCCCTGTGTGAGGAAACCACACATGTTGGAGCTACAAGGATTTGAAGTGTGTCCTTTGTGCTCTTTGGAATAAGAGTCATCTGAAAAAATATATTGTACTATAGGTGGCCATTATGGATAGAAGTAATAAATTAGAATATTAAATTTCTTCCTGCAAATGATTCAGCTACTAATGACTTTAAGAAAGGATGCTTTAAGGATATTATGCTTCAGGGTCCTGAGATGGGCGCAAGAGGTTTGAAAACCAGAAGGAAAGTTTGTGTAACTAATGCATGGTTTTCATTCTTTTTAAACAAAAATAAATATGAACTGTGCTGAGTATTATATATTGAGTAGATCTGGGGCTGTCTGCTGAGCCTTTTATTCGGTTTCAGGGGATAATTTTATTATAGCAGTGATGTTACCCCTAAATGGCTCGATCTGAATATTGCCATATATACTCTTTGAATCCCCTTTTGGATACCTATTCACTCGTCAAATACTACTGTAGCGTCTGGCCATACACATTACAGCATTTCTGGAAGAGCATTTAAAGTAACCTCAAAAGCAGGGATCATTTTCTCCCTTTAAGAATATCTTTTAACAACTTCCTTCTTGCAGCATAGGGTGTATCTGAATGTGACAAACTAAAATACTGGGAAACATTTAGGTACTGGGAAATTCAGGGTATTATTTTTATATATAATTTATAACTTGTATTCTTTTATTTCCTGTGATTTGATTTTAGCACCTTGCGGGGTGGGTTAACGTTGAATCTACAGTTCCTTCAGTGCTTATAACTTTTAATCAAATTAATTTATATAATTGTGGATGTTGCTTGAAAACTCACTTTCATTACTATGACAACTGGGACTTACTTGAAGAAATTCCCCAGCGTTCAGTGCAGTACATGCAGAGTATAATCTCCTCCCCCCGCAATAATTTCCATTGTATGTTGGAGGGAAAAATCTCTAAATTTAATAGGAATGAAAACCATTAAAATTTGGGAACGTTTTATTCAGATTTTATACATAGAATTGTAGTTACATATAGAACTTAATAAGGAATGGTAAATGCGTTTCTGTAGCAGGGACAGAATATTCTGTGTTATTTTAATTGATGCAAATCTATGTTAAGGGTTTTTTGCCACCCTCCACAGAGATTTTCTGTAGGTGAGCAGACAAGTATGTATCCTAGCGTTTTTTATTCAAAGAACCAATACATGTGACAAATAGTGCAAACTGTGACACACAAGGAAACCTGTGATACTTTGCTGTACAAAACATGGAGACTGATAGTAAAATGATCAGAAGAAAGCTTAAAAGAACAGGCTGCTCCAGTGTTCCAGCTACAAACAGCATACATGATGACTTGCATGTTATAACTGAGATAGCACGAGTGTTACAAAACAGCAGGGTTTTGCACAGAACTAAGGGCATTGCTATGCTTCCTACAAGCATGAAGAGGTAGGAAGAAGAGCCTCTATAGAGATCTGGCATCCAGAGTTCCTGCT